ACTCTCGTGACCTCGCAACTCCGATTATAGGCTCGCAGGTGCACGAGAAATCAGAAACCATCACATGGTCTGATGGATCTATTACCGTGCTACCGTGCATAGTCAGGGATGGCGTAAACGTGTGCCAGGAAGATGCTACGACGGTGTCTTACTTTGCAACCCTTCCGGAATCGCTTCCTGAGACGTCAAAAAACGTCGTACACTTAAAGTACAGCGACTGGCGCACCAAAAGCCGGCAACTGTGCGACGAAATCTCTGCGGCGATTCGGGTAAACAAGGCTGTTGTTATTCGAAATATAAGTAGACCCGAGCCTGCAACTCTCGATCTAGATTACCTAGAAGATCGTGGCATGTCAGACTTGATGCGTGTAGTCGTACATGGTGAGTCTGTTTTTAATTCGCATCTGCATTACACTATCTAATGTAGTTACAATAGACGCTGAACAACGCACCAAAGATTTTACATATCCGCATCAGCACGCGACTCTCGAAGAGTTCGTGAACAACATACACGACCCAAACAAGATTCAATGCATTCTTGACGTTGCATTTGGACAGGGAGGTCTCCCGTTAGAACTAAGGTTAGTACCACATATATTTACATTAACATACCACTAAACCGTCTATGCTTAGCACTCTCGATAGCGGCATTATCAACGGATGGAATCAAACCACTGTTGACTGCCCCATTGGTGAAAAAGTCCATCCGGACAATTTTACCGTCCATTCGTGGGCATTGATCCATGGCCCTGCGTACTGGACACATCCGCACCATGACTCTGACGGAAGTCTTACTTTTGTGCAAGTCGAAACGGGCGAAAAAAAATGGGGCTTATGGAGACACCGTAACGAAGATGAAATTTCTCGTACTAAACTCTCTGAGATAGCACCAGAGTTGACGGATCTCTATCGAAGCCGCAAAAATATCGAAGAAAGTTGGCACGGAGAGATCGTCACTCTCTTGCCCGGTGATATGCTGTGAGTATTTGGTCCTTATGTATCTATCCATGCTTACAATTGCAGAATACAACCACCGGGACAGTTTCACGCGGTGTATACACCGGTAGCCTCCTTCGCCACAGGAGGGCACTTTTATAATTACGAAACCATGCATCTAACGGAACTTTCCCGTTACGTCGACCATAAGCAAGGAAGGACCTTGACAAACCAGGTCCATGAACACTCTCTGGAAACCTTCCAACGTATGGTTGTCAACTTACCGCGCATCTCGCGTCGCGTTAGTGAGTTCATTTCCGTTTTCACTACATTGAACACGTGTAACATCGACCTTTAGAGCTGTACAGCAGGCCTTTAATGGCTCTTTGTATTATGGTCTTAGATACCAACAAATATGTGGCCGCTGGCACCGAAAGGCCAAAGCTCAAGACGAGCACGACGAAACGAGCGAATGAGATTGCAAATGCAATCGTTAAACATTTTTGGAAGGATTTAAAGAACGCGACATCTGTGTATCGCAAGAAGCAGACGGATGGAAGTAGTAGCCAGATGCATCCGGGCGAACTCGTCAGTAGAGAAGAACTGTTGAATTGTCTAGAACGCTTCACCACCCTGTAGTGTTGTTATTACACACTAGTATTACATCATTTTGTTACATTTTACATGCTGTACTGATAGAAATTGCGGAACTGTAGGATATTTATAGTTTGGATACTCTCTTCATAGCGCAGGCACCGCCTTGAATTTTACATGCTGTACTGATAGAAATCACGGAACTGTACAATATCTATAGTTCGGACACTCCCTTCATATTGCAGGCAGCGCCTTGAAATCGCACCTTTGTAACGCCATATCATAATAGTTCATTTTTTTTGATTCACCCATAGTAAATTTGAAGTTAGGTGCGGACGAAACAACACGCCGGGCTACTTACTGATACTTGCGAGCGACTTACTACAGCAAGAAGTCTTGAGCACTTGCCGAGAAATTTGACTACTTGTGCGACTATGATGACTTGTGGGACACATGCGACTTTGACGACTTCTACGAATTTGGAGATTCTACGAATTTGGAGATTCTAACGACTTTGACGACTTTGACGACTTTGACGACTTTGACGACTTTGACGACTTTGACGACTTTGACGACTTTGACGACTTTGACGACTTTGACGACTTTGACGACTTTGAAGACTTTGACGACTTTGAAGACTTTGACGACTTTGACGACTTTGACGACTTTGACGACTTTGACGACTTTGAAGACTTTGACGACTTTGACGACTTTGAAGACTTTGACGACTTTGACGACTTTGAAGACTTTGACGACTTTGAAGACTTTGAAGACTTTGACGACTTTGACGACTTTGACGACTTTGAAGACTTTGACGACTTTGAAGACTTTGACGACTTTGATGACTTCTGCGACTTCAAACACCCCGGTGACTTAGGGGACTCTGACGACTTCGACGACTGTAAAGACTAGTGACTTGTGGGACTCTGACGACTTCGACGACTGTAAAGACTAGTGACTTGTGGGACTCTGAATACTTCGACACTAGTGACTTGTGGGACTCTGACGACTTCGACCCCTCTAAAGGTGATATAAAATGGAGACTACGAGGACAATACGGTGGATGAACATCGCGAGTAAATTTACGATGCATTGCTTATGAGTAAGTTTACAACATAGGTGTGTAAAGTGGCGAAATCCTGGGACGTTATGCTATATATCACACGTGACAGAGAGCGAATGCTAATTTTGAATATGGAACAAATTATGAGTGCACACAAAAGCTGGCCAGAAATAAAGGTTAGCTGACGGATCATAAGCAAGGATAATCAACACACTTTGACTCCTGTTATTTTTACGCTTTTCACGAATATATCTTTTGCCGGGGTCTGCGCCGCATTTTCAGATATAGCTCGTATGCTGAGAAAATATATAGCATGCGTATACGACAAAAATTACAGTATCAGCATTGTGTACGTATGGTTACACGTCAATTGGCCGTGTACAGAATATGGGACTCAGGATCGCTGGACGCATTGCAAACGAATATAATCTTCCTCTTCCAAGGAAAGGGGGAAATGATGTTGAAGTAAATTAGGCAGATTAGAGAATGGTACGAGCCACTCTGGTCTGCTTACATAGCCGGGGGAGTTACACCCACATCGGTTGCAGTGGAACTTCAAGTACTTGTCCTTCTGACGACCTCGGGTGATTTTGATATCTCCAGGGCCAGCTTGACAGGTCCGGTCACCACACCTGGGGGTTAGGCCCCACACTGAGCCAGATGGGGTGGATGCCAAGTATCTCCGGCTGACCAACTCGCCATGTTTGGTCCAACACACCAACACTACAGGAGTATGGCACAGAAGAGTCCAGCTAGAGATCACTTGTTCAACAGCTAGTTCCACAGGCTTTTTGTAAATGTAAATTTCTACAGCGATCCTCAGCATGAAGGGCATGACTATAGTGGGTTGAACCGAATAAGCTGTGAACCCGATGATAAAGTGCAAACGTTTGCTGAATATAACAGTCCAAGTCACAAATGCAATATTCACCAAACCCGGTGATCTCACCTTGAGACCAGATTCTTGATTATCTCAAAATGTGAGCGTACAGTGAAAGTTGGACCGCAGGCCAGGAGAATCATTCCTTTGGTTCCTGACATCTTCTCAGACATCTTCCACAATTCTGGACCAATGTAGTGTCTCAAAACCTGAGAACAGTCGTCAAAATGTGGGACAGATGTAGACGGTAATCACCGACCTTTTCCGCATCCCGAGTGACGGCCTCTCCATCATCACGGGTGCCATGTACCAACTCTCCGCAATCATGATCGCTGTGTGAGTCTACCAAGACTAGAAGATTGGCCAGTGGGTGATTCTTCAAAAAGACAAGGCCAGTCTTGACAGCGCGGCGGACGTTAGGAACTAAGGCACCAGCATTCTCCAGCCTGATCTTTGTGTGATGCAACTGTGGGATCCTTGTCAGGTCTTAACCGAAGTATCGCCAACTCTGTACTCACCAGATCTCGGCACGACTGGTATTCCCCATCCAGCTGGCAGCGTAACAAGGTCTCCGGATAATCCTGGAGATTCAGGGCAATGGTGTGAAACAGGAGTGGTCTACGGATGCGGGATTGGCTTGTGAGGTATGCGCCTTGTGCAACCACCTTATACTAATTGTGTCAAATGAGTGCCTTGAAGTTGTCTCAAAGCCCGGCAGGGATGGCTCACCGGGAGTGGAGATTGGCGCTTTTGGCTCCAACACGGGGGACACCAAAATTCACCATCGCCCACCTCTCTGATGCAGGGATACAAGTTAGTCTTGGAGAAGCAAAGAGCATGAGGACATCCAGGCCGAACACATTTCTTCAGATCCCCAAAATCAGAGCAACTGCTGCATACTCTGATCATCCCATTCTCTGTCACCAGGGCTTCAGCCTCCAAAGCCAAAGCGATAGACTCAGGGTCAGCTGGTAAGTAATTGTGGTCAAAGGGAAGGAAGCAGAATCAAATTAGGCCCCCAAGACCCACCAGATGATTCATCTACAAGCGGTCAGGTCTTCTCCAAGAAAAAATGGGATGAATCTGAGTCGCTTACCTCCAGTATCTATGGCCTGGCTATGACCACGGACAACACGTCCACCCACATCTGTCACATCCATGTCTAAACAGTTGGGATTAGCTACATATGCACCTCAGAAAGCTCAGTCAACGTGGCCTACCCATTGGATCACCTAGACCTGTGTAAGAAGGGGTCAGGAAAATCCCAACGATTCATGAACATGACTGACCCCACGACACCCCTTTCATTGCCCGGCTCTGGGACTCTATGGGTTGTACTCGCCCACTAGACGTTCGTGTGTTAGTTCCTCCTAGTCTGGTAGACACTCGTCCCCGAGATCCCCGTCCCCGAGGCCCTCCTCTACCGCCTCGGGTACCGGCAGAGGTTGAACCTGTGCCTGGAGCAGGATCATCATCATTATCATCATCATCATCTTCTTCTTCTTCTTCTTCTTCTTCTTCTTCGCTGGATTCCTCTTCTTCTTCATGGACGTCACGACGATTGGCATTGCGGGAAGTTGTATTGCGGGAAGTCATATTGCGGGCAGTTGTATTGCGGGAAGTTGTATTGCGGGCAGTTGTATTGCGGGTATTGCGGGAAGTTGTATTGCGGGCAGTTGTATTGCGGGTATTGCGGGAAGTTGTATTGCGGGCAGTTGTATTGCGGGTATTGCGGGAAGTTGTATTGCTGGCAGTTGCATTGGTGGCAATTGCATCGGCATCGGCATCCACGTTGTCAGCTTGTCCCCTGATGTGTGCTGCTAAGTCGATGTCCATACCGTCTCCAGGATTGGTGCCTGGTGCAACCGACCAGTCTCCCATCAAATCTGCCATAGTAATATTGTAGTGAAGCAGTAATATGTAGAGAATAATTGTATAGTATTTGACAGATCAACTTTTTAAGGTACTAGAAAACAGCACATTTCGACCAACCTCACGTGATAATTGTGACAAATGAGTGACATCGCATTATTTTCGAGTTTATAATGCAGGAGTTAGAATATTAATCACATTGAGTTATGGTTATTGTATTACAAGCCTAATTACTACGAGTCCAGTTGTATAAGTTATCATGAGTTTGTGCCATTCGGAAGCCTTGACTTATCCTCACATCACGTGAGGTTGGTCGAATGTGCTGTTTTCCACCTTAACTTCTAACCGTCACCCATGCTTTCAACACCTGTACTATATCATGGTAAGTTTGGTCAAGTTGTTCAAATACAGATTAACGCTGTTAGATTGCAGGAGCCCGTGTTGTACGAGTGTTCCAGTTGCCACGCCTGGACTCTCAGCCAGCATTTCTGGATTCACAAGAGGTACAGACACCACCAGCCCCCGCAGCGGATCCAGGACCACCTGTATCAACCTCCTTGGCTGCCAGCTTTCTTAATTTGATTCAGGAACATTTTCAGTGCCCGATGTGAGTGATACGCATGATCTTACAGGGTTGCCCACTCACTTATGGGTCAGATGTTGGGACGTCCTGTCAGCACCATGATCCTGATACGATCATCGCCCTAACCTAACCCAAGCTTAGTGCTGCACCAGTGACTTATTGCTCGTCAGGACATGCGGCTTGTGTATATTGCACGCTCAGTTCAGCCATCAATCTCAGCCTTGGGGTCACTAAATGCGTCCTGTGTCGGTCTCCAAACATTATTCCTGGAGGTTGTCCTTTCATTTATCTTCGGCAGACCCAGAACTTTGTTGTGTCCCTGATGGAAGGAATCGCCCGGGAGTTCCGAGACACTCCTCCCGAAAATCCGGAATTAAGGTCATACGCTTGTGGAGCTTTGCGAGATGATTGGCAACGAAGAAACAGGTGAATACATTTACAACCCATTGCAAAATTAGGACTGTTCTCATTTATGGTACAGGGTTGGTCGTCTCCTCATACATGACATCCAGCAACTCCGAGGTCCACTGACCCCCACAGAGGCAAGCCGTATGGTCTTATTGGCCAGACTTCGTCTACAGGGGGAAGGTGTTGGTTCAGCCCAGCTCCCGATGTGAGTCCGTCTTGGTCAAAAAATTTGGTGTTGGACTCACCAGATTACGCCATACAGCGAGATTAATTAGCTCTCCCCTTCCAGTGACCTCTTAGGATCTGTCAGATCTCATTGAAAAGAGGAAGGACATTTTTCTGTGTCCTCGGCTTGGGATCTGGTGGTCAACCAAGTCTCACTGGAACGTCAATATCTTTACAATGGCTGAAACTGAACCTTACATAGACTTTCAAGGTGGTTACAATAAGCCAGTCCCTTGAAGATTCCAGATATTTTACAATATTTTGGACGTTTGTAGTTTCTTCTGATCCCAATTATTACACTGCGGAAACGACTTTCTAGTCGTTGGTCTCCCTCAAAGAACACGTTTCGGAGAAGTAGACTGATATATTTTGAGTTTGTTTTTGGAAACAGTCACTGCAATTACAATTATTAGATAGCCAACAAAATCGCCGAGGAAATGACAAAATAAGTCGTATACGAAAAGAGTATGATTAGGACATTGGTACTAAACACATGCTTCAAATTTGGAGTCTTAGCACCGAAGACCCAATAGAAGTTGGAAGGTTAGGTAATGTGTAAGATAGGGTCGACAGAAATGCCATCTTTTGGCGGAGGCAGGTAAACAGCGTCTGGTTGCCGTCGATAAGATAAGGGCGGACGAGGGCGGGATAAGTCCTGAGAGAACAATGGTAAGTAAATGGTATGATACGTGGAGACGATGAATACATACTCGAATGAGTTGTCGTTGAACTGCCCATTATCATATAGATCTCCGCACCAGCCGTTGTCCTGAAGCACCACTGGGCCTCGCTGATTGTGGGGGGTACTTGGAATACGCGATTGGTATTCCCAAAATCGTCAGAGAGGTGATAGGTGATGAGAAATAGTGTGAATAGGTCTTTCATCTCATTCTTCAAGAACTCTGGACTGACGTGAGTGAGGAGGGAAAATATAACGTGGGTGAAGAGACGAGCACTGCGATATTGCCGACAGACGCGACGGAGGCGTGTGGCGGGCGGTATTGTCGGTGATACGATGCTCGCGAATTTCACGAGGAAGGTAAGGCAAGGACTAATCCTCTTCGAAATTATGAGTTAAGACGGTACCCTAACTAAGCTCGCCGAAGTCGACAGTGTGGTCGATGGTACGTCCCTCGCGAATTTCACGAGGAAGGTAGGCGCGGAACAGGTGATGCGGGGCCGAGCACCGTGACAGTAGGCGTCATTATTGGAAGTCCGATCGAGCTGGGATGATGGATCAATCTATGTCGAGCGTTGGTAGAAGTCGCGGATGCATTTACTAGTACGACTGATGCACATCATTGATATGTCGTCCTTGAAGAGTGTGATTGTAACCCTCGCAAACAGGGACTAAGACTTTCAAATCCTCAAAGTGCTAGCAGTCATCTGATGTCCTTCAAGTCGTCGAGCTTAGAAATCAATATTATGTCCTCGAAGTCTTAGAAGTCAGCTGATGTCCTTCAAGTCGTCGAAGTCTTAAGAGGTCGTAAAACTGAGTAATTAAATGATATCCTTCCTCGAACTTTGAGTAATCAAATTATATCGAGCTTAGAAATCAAACTATGTCCTCGAAGTCCTCGAAGTCAGCTGATGTCCTTCAAGTCCTTCGAGTCAAAGTATGACTTTGAGGACAGGAACAACCTTCAGCGCTACAGCTACCTCATTTACGCTTTCCTTATAGGATCAAACTCCTATGGAACATACCGTGCATATCGACGATACTCTCTCAAAAGTCCACTACTACTGCTCAAAGTCGTAGTACAATGACGAGAATTTGTTGTGGAATCTTACGTAATGTCTGTGGCCGATTCTAAAGCTGTTTATTTACCCCTCTGCTCGTACATTTTTCCTCTTACTTTGACTTGCTTTCATTGCAAGTATCCTACTCGTATATCGTAGCTTGAACGCTTAGTATTATCTTAACTGATGAAATTCCTAGTTGACATAATGCCAGAGCACAACCAGGGTGACAAGAACCTCTAGTGTTGTTATTTACATATATCGGATTTCACATGCTGTATTAATAGCAACCACGATACTGTACAATATAGTTAGCAAACTCGTCATAGTGCAGGTATTGCTTTGACGTTAAACTATTGTAACACCATATTATAACAGTTCAATTTTTTTGCGATTCGTCCTTGTGTTAGACAAATAGAAGTTGATCCTGATGCTACTAGTAAGTTTGTAAGTTAGGTGTGGACGTAGACTAGCAACACGGCGAGCTAAAGTGAAACAATTGATACTGCTGAAACTAAGTTGCGGCTCACAAGACCACATAAGGAGCCCTACCTTACTGATACTTGCGGGCGACTTAAGACAGCAGGAAATCTTGAGCACTTGCCGAGAACGTCGACTAATTCTGCGACATTGGCAATTTCTACGACATTGGCGACTCTGGTTTGTGGGACTTTGACGACTTCTGCGACTTCTGCGACTTTGACGACTTTGACGACTTTGACGACTCTGGTTACTTGTGGGACTTCTGGACTAATACCATATGCATGTAATAATTATTTGGACTTGCCTTGAGCTTGAGAAAGGTTCCAAAGATTGGATGGTTAGGAAACAAGCTAAATCATTATCAGACACTTGAATGACTTAGTATGTACCGACCCAGGTAGACAAATTATATTGGATGAAAATATACAAATGTGGGTAAGGAGGGAAACTCTATGATCTCCCTACTTAGATTATATTACCTACGGATGGTTGCAACTGCAAGTCACATATTTGGTCTAATAGTTGTTGATCTTGTTGTTGGAAGTAGCTCTGCTTCCTAAAGGTCTCCCAAATCTCAAGCCCTTCTTCAATTGGTTCCCGCAGCTCACTTTCACTTAAGGCCGCTAGTGGGGTCAACCAGACTCCCCAAGAGTTATATTCACTGGATGAAAGTCCCTCACTAATTGAGGAAGGAGCTGGGGGGACGTTGAGCTCACTGACATTCACAGACTACCACAAACAAAAATAAATCTCAGTTGCGGTAGACCAGGCCTTTGGGGCAGTTTCTCACCAAAGATCCTGAAGCTATTTGTTGCTCTGGCTGCATGGCCTGGCAGCTTCGCGTAGTACGGCGGGGCCGGTCAAATGTGGACCTACTGGGAGAGCCTGTCCTCTTGGAGGTATGACACCCGGATGAAACCTGATATTTCCCGTAGAGTGGTTAATGAGGGTAAGATGAAGATTCTGGAGGCATACCTTGGGTAGTTGACCTCTTTTTTTTTTTTTGGAGGACTTAGCTACATCAGGGGACTAACAAGTACTTTAGATCCATAGGAGAAAGTATTCCTTGTGGACGCTTACATGTGGACGCTTAATTGAGCTTGGTTGGACGGTTGGGGGATCCACCTCCATGGGCACCTCAGGGGAACTACCAGGCTGGCGCTTCTCCAGCTCGTTAATCACCGTCTCCAAACATAATTTCCAGCTGTCTGGGTTGGATTCCACCATAGGTGCTGGTGAATTCCCACTGAGCTTGGACTCTAGCAATACACATTGAAAATCCAAAGGGTGCGTGTTGGGGTCAGGCATGTTCCCGTATAAGCTTCTCATGATGGGGTTCGTCGTCTTCAGCCAATCCTCCCAATCTGAAGAACAAATCATTTTCTGAACAGATAAAAGCTGAACCCATTCTCACCATACCTCCCAGATATATCGGGGTGGTCCTGGAGAAGTTTCTCTAGCCTATCTCCTGAGGCCGGTTGCATCCCCTTCAGATGGTACACCTGGTACCCCCAGCTGACCAGGACACTAGAAACCCATTGCCGGGTCATTCTTGTTGATGCAGGAAGGGTTGTCACAGGCAACTTGACACCTTCAGGGTAGAATTTCTCTAGTACCTCCAAGAAAAATTTGTGGCGCAGGATGTCCATGTAATACGAGGCCTGAAGCCAACGTTCTTGGGTTTGGGTAGGCAGGCGTGTGGACAGGGACACAAACCAAGCACAGTTGCAGGCGTGGTTGATAAATCGAAGTAGAGGTTTACAAGCGGAGGGGATGTGGATGTGTACACTTTCGTAGCGGAGCACTTGGAACCAATCTCTTTCCGGCTCATACCTTCCACAGAAAAAAAGATCTGGGCACCATCCAGCAGGTCTAGTAAGAGCTTCCTTCCAATGATCGTTGAGATCCAGCAAGTTTACGATGGGTGCTGTTGAATCAGACTCATCCATCCCGCTCCGCATGTAGTTTTGCAGGACGCGACGCGACTTGTGGGAAAATACGTTTGCGCGACCCAGCTAGCCGGCTTGGGTTCCGTGATTGGATTAGGGTTAAGGTGCCAAAACGGTGCGACAATGCGTGACAGACGGTCGGAAAAATGGTCGAACACCTAGGACCCTCGCAGGGGGCATAGCCAGCCTCCACTGCAAAATTATCCGCAGCCTAGATTCGAATGTAGCAACACGAGAAGCGACCATTCGCGTCACATTGTTGCAAACCGGGTAGATCCGCAACACAAGGGAGAATCCTTTCATGTATCATATCGTTGTACTTACAGCTCCTGTAGTATTGACTGGACAATGGTAGATGGACAAAAAATTTCCTCACAGGTATCCGCATTCACAAGTGCCCTTGAACATGGGATATTTTTATTCCATAATTATTCGTCATTTTTGGTCGCCTGTACTACAGACTACAGTATAGTGTCTTACAATTTCGCAACCAGAATGATCCAAAAACTTTATTGATACATTGCAAATTGACAACCAAAAAGTCACAGAAGTCACCAGAGTCTTCAAAGTCGTAGAAGTCGTCAATGTCGCAGAAGTCCCAGAGTCGTCAATGTCGCAGAAGTCCCAGAGTCGTCAATGTCGCAGAAGTCGTCAATGTCGCAGAAGTCCCACAAACCAGAGTCTTCAAAGCCATATAAGTCGCCAATGTCGTCAAAGTACCACCATCCACAGAATATTTCTCACTGACTCAGGTGCTGTTGGGCGGGCAGCGACAACCTATCGTGCACGTGACTTTGACACCACCAGTAGCTTTTGATACTGTAGAGATACGCACTTAGCTTCGTCACAGCGTCACACGTCCGACGAATCGAAGCTATTTCGTGTGACCGTCACACAAGATTGAAGTCATCGAAGGTAAATTGTGACACACGGTAAAACATGAAAAAAAAATGCAAAAATGCTCTCAAAAATTCTTGTACTGATTATTTGCCATGAACCTCGCTTTACATGACCAAAATTTTCTTCATCACCATCAGCTGTGAGCTCTTGCTGACAGCAGCTGATAGTGGTGCTGATTCGAAGCTATTTTTGACATGTCACAGGTCACACCCATCTTCGAATCTTCGAAGCTAAGGTTCAGTTGGTCACACCCAGATGATGTCGAAGCTAAGTGCGTATCTCTACAGTATTCTAAGACATTGGAATGACAAACTTTCTACTACATTTCTGTCGATTATAATCAATGTGAAGTGTCTGAGATATTACTACCGATGTAACTAAGTAGTTTTTTGATGCAGAAGTGGTTTGATCAATAGAAATTGTAATCTTTATCTTCAGTCACTCTTTCAGCACGTTGGTCACGTGAAATGTAGAATCCGCACGACCGCTACTGCAGTTTCACATGCAACACACTGTAGAACTCCTTACCGTACATCTGCTATGGGCCACCGGGTATTGGTTGTACTGGACCCTCACTTTTCCAGAGACTCTGCGCTGGAGGCTTCCACGCTGGCAGATTGGGTGACTTATGATTATCCAGTAAAGATGGCTGCCAGCCTCTTCTCCAGTCAGGCACTTCGTGGAAGCGTTTTTCCGGGAGAAACCGATCGAATCATTCGAAAGCGACCAGGATTCGTCCCTGTCCTACTTCATGAAAAGGTGGGAATGTTAAAGAGCGGAAGAAGTCTCAGGCTCATTGCGTTGATGGTAGTTGTTGGTCTGGCTTAGAATCCAACACCGGGGAATGGTCGTGGACTTTATGCAGTTCCGAAAATTCCGGGACTTGATGCTGGCACCAAACCCCAACTTCACCTGGGAATTTCAACACTACCATGCCATATGGGGCGTTCTAGATCTGACCGTGGATCCAAGGCAAGTAGTGAACCTCTCACAAGCGTATAACCTCCTCAAAGTTCTAAGCAGTGAGAAAGGGTGTAGTTTGGAATCCCCGGCCCAGTTGCACCAGTATATTAAACGACTGCAGATGTTGGAATCCATTTTGCCTGTGTGGCCGCCCTCCCAAGAGATGCTGTTCGCGTCCAAAAAATTCAACGTAATCAAAACCTTGGACGAGATTGCAAGAAATACCACCAACTCCCCCCGGCCCCAAACCGAAATACTTTCCCGCACCAATCGCTCACAGTCATTCGAAGGCTTTGTTCTCAAGCGGGAAGGCAGTGATTGCACACGGCACATTTTCCTTCCAGGTACGATCGACTCATTCAACCTACCGAGGGACAAGGGAGGTTTTCGCTGGTTAAAACAGTCATACGTACCAGCCCTGAGACATGTAGGGGAGTTCCGGGTGATTGTTCTGGATTGCCGGCCTTTATGGGTGATACACACCAGCCCAGGGAATCATGAGAATCAGATTGTCTTCTGTCATCGGGATGCTGGTTTGTCCCTGGAGAAAATGAGGTCTGTCTCTGAACCCGATGGAGTTCCCTTTCTGACCCAAATGCACATTTTTGATTTTGACAGCTCACGTCTGCAAAAGCCTTATGGGTTTGATGACATCATGGATCCTGTGGGGGGTACGGTGGAAGAACGTCACCTGGCAGACGCGGAATTGGAATCATTCGTCGTTGCCACCTTGAGTAACCTTATAGCCATCGAGGAGGGTCTACTGCAGGGGACTAGTTCTTTGAGGTTGATGGCCCGAGTAGATCTTGGTGTTCTCCGTGGTTCAGATGGACGGTTAGGTTATTTTGTCAACGAGGTGGAACGGGGAATTATGATTACTTTATTCAGTCAAGGGAATCCCAGGTGGGCTTTGCGGTTGGCAGATGAATTCTCAGGCCTGTTCTCTCAATGGATTGACGATACTTCCCGGGATATGCAGCGAACCATAGAGCCCAGAACCCTAACGAAACATGGCCGGTTTATATTCTCATTAGATAGACCTTGATCACAATACTTACACCAGCATCGGGATGATGATGCTAACTATCGTTCCTTCTAAACAGTCCCCCTACTAATTTTTGCCCAGTTCCTTGTAATCATCGTTTTGATTTGGGCCCATGCGCTATTGCTTTCGTCGTACAATTCGCTGCCTGAAATTAGTAATGTTCGTTTTCACCATGTCGGAGGATGGCCTTCAACGACCTGTCGCCTCCTTTCCCTGGAGAGATACTTTCTACGGTACCAGCTGGAAATATATTGACTTAGATATACATCTTCACTATCTGGTCTTCTATTTGGGATATCTGTGGCGAAAGGGACATTTATGCACCTGTCAAGCCTGTGAGAGCAGCGCTCGCGCGTAGTATCCGTCGAGCTCTTACGAAAGCTCATTTTCCTCATTAAGGAGGACAGGGTCGATTGGAATATCGACAGGCGCTGTATTTGAACGCCCCGCCTCAGGATGTGTGTCGGGCGAGGAAACACGTTGCCTCTTTCGAGGACCTTGTTCTTCACTCTCAGCGTTAGTACCGGTCTGCTCTGTCTTCTTCTTCTTATCCTTTCTCCTCCTTCTTCCGTTAAACATCCGTTTACGCCATGCACGCTTGTTGGCGGTGTTCCTCTCCTTGATTTATTGCGCCCTAGAAGGATCGCGCTTCTCCTTCGCCAACCATCTTCTTTGGCGTTCGCGCTGCTTCTCCTCTGCAGTCATGTCGGCGTCGGTGAGATCTGCGTGATTAAGCCTGGGCTTCTTGTCACCCTGGTTGTGCTCTGGCATTATGTCAACTAGGAATTTCATCAGTTAAGATAATACTAAGCGTTCAAGCTACGATATACGAGTAGGATACTTGCAATGAAAGCAAGTCAAAGTAAGAGGAAAAATGTACGAGCAGAGGGGTAAATAAACAGCTTTAGAATCGGCCACAGACATTACGTAAGATTCCACAACAAATTCTCGTCATTGTACTACGACTTTGAGCAGTAGTAGTGGACTTTTGAGAGAGTATCGTCGATATGCACGGTATGTTCCATAGGAGTTTGATCCTATAAGGAAAGCGTAAATGAGGTAGCTGTAGCGCTGAAGGTTGTTCCTGTCCTCAAAGTCATACTTTGACTCGAAGGACTTGAAGGACATCAGCTGACTTCGAGGACTTCGAGGACATAGTTTGATTTCTAAGCTCGATATAATTTGATTACTCAAAGTTCGAGGAAGGATATCATTTAATTACTCAGTTTTACGACCTCTTAAGACTTCGACGACTTGAAGGACATCAGCTGACTTCTAAGACTTCGAGGACATAATATTGATTTCTAAGCTCGACGACTTGAAGGATATTATTTAATTACTCAGTTTTACGACCTCTTAAGACTTCGACGACTTGAAGGACATCAGCTGACTTCTAAGACTTCGAGGACATAATATTGATTTCTAAGCTCGACGACTTGAAGGACATCAGATGACTGCTAGCACTTTGAGGATTTGAAAGTCTTAGTCCCTGTTTGCGAGGGTTACAATCACACTCTTCAAGGACGACATATCAATGATGTGCATCAGTCGTACTAGTAAATGCATCCGCGACTTCTACCAACGCTCGACATAGATTGATCCATCATCCCAGCTCGATCGGACTTCCAATAATGACGCCTACTGTCACGGTGCTCGGCCCCGCATCACCTGTTCCGCGCCTACCTTCCTCGTGAAATTCGCGAGGGACGTACCATCGACCACACTGTCGACTTCGGCGAGCTTAGTTAGGGTACCGACTTAACTCATAATTTCGAAGAGGATTAGTCCTTGCCTTGCTTTCCTCGTGAAATTCGCGAGGGACGTACCATCGACCACACTGTCGACTTCGGCGAGCTTAGTTAGGGTACCGTCTTAACTCATGATTCCGAAGAGGATTAGTCCTTGCCTTGCTTTCCTCGTGAAATTCGCGAGGGACGTACCATCGACCACACCGTCAACTTCGGCGAGCTTAGTTAGGGTACCAACTTAACTCATAATTTCGAAGAGGATTAGTCCTTGCCTTGCCTTCCTCGTGAAATTCGCGAGGGACGTACCATCGACCACACCGTCAACTTCGGCGAGCTTAGTTAGGGTACCAACTTAACTCATAATTTCGAAGAGGATTAGTCCTTGCCTTGCCTTCCTCGTGAAATTCGCGAGGGACGTACCATCGACCACACCGTCGACTTCGGCGAGCTTAGTTAGGGTACCGTCTTAACTCATAATTTCGAAGAGGATTAGTCCTTGCCTTACCTTCCTCGTGAAATTCGCGAGCATCGTATCACCGACAATACCGCCCGCCACACGCCTCCGTCGCGTCTGTCGGCAATATCGCAGTGCTCGTCTCTTCACCCACGTTATATTTTCCCTCCTCACTCACGTCAGTCCAGAGTTCTTGAAGAATGAGATGAAAGACCTATTCACACTATTTCTCATCACCTATCACCTCTCTGACGATTTTGGGAATACCAATCGCGTATTCCAAGTACCCCCCACAATCAGCGAGGCCCAGTGGTGCTTCAGGACAACGGCTGGTGCGGAGATCTATATGATAATGGGCAGTTCAACGACAACTCATTCGAGTATGTATTCATCGTCTCCACGTATCATACCATTTACTTACCATTGTTCTCTCAGGACTTATCCCGCCCTCGTCCGCCCTTATCTTATCGACGGCAACCAGACGCTGTTTACCTGCCTCCGCCAAAAGATGGCATTTCTGTCGACCCTATCTTACACATTACCTAACCTTCCAACTTCTATTGGGTCTTCGGTGCTAAGACTCCAAATTTGAAGCATGTGTTTAGTACCAATGTCCTAATCATACTCTTTTCGTATACGACTTATTTTGTCATTTCCTCGGCGATTTTGTTGGCTATCTAATAATTGTAATTGCAGTGACTGTTTCCAAAAACAAACTCAAAATATATCAGTCTACTTCTCCGAAACGTGTTCTTTGAGGGAGACCAACGACTAGAAAGTCGTTTCCGCAGTGTAATAATTGGGATCAGAAGAAACTACAAACGTCCAAAATATTGTAAAATATCTGGAATCTTCAAGGGACTGGCTTATTGTAACCACCTTGAAAGTCTATGTAAGGTTCAGTTTCAGCCATTGTAAAGATATTGACGTTCCAGTGAGACTTGGTTGACCACCAGATCCCAAGCCGAGGACACAGAAAAATGTCCTTCCTCTTTTCAATGAGATCTGACAGATCCTAAGAGGTCACTGGAAGGGGAGAGCTAATTAATCTCGCTGTATGGCGTAATCTGGTGAGTCCAACACCAAATTTTTTGACCAAGACGGACTCACATCGGGAGCTGGGCTGAACCAACACCTTCCCCCTGTAGACGAAGTCTGGCCAATAAGACCATACGGCTTGCCTCTGTGGGGGTCAGTGGACCTCGGAGTTGCTGGATGTCATGTATGAGGAGACGACCAACCCTGTACCATAAATGAGAACAGTCCTAATTTTGCAATGGGTTGTAAATGTATTCACCTGTTTCTTCGTTGCCAATCATCTCGCAAAGCTCCACAAGCGTATGACCTTAATTCCGGATTTTCGGGAGGAGTGTCTCGGAACTCCCGGGCGATTCCTTCCATCAGGGACACAACAAAGTTCTGGGTCTGCCGAAGATAAATGAAAGGACAACCTCCAGGAATAATGTTTGGAGACCGACACAGGACGCATTTAGTGACCCCAAGGCTGAGATTGATGGCTGAACTGAGCGTGCAATATACACAAGCCGCATGTCCTGACGAGCAATAAGTCACTGGTGCAGCACTAAGCTTGGGTTAGGTTAGGGCGATGATCGTATCAGGATCATGGTGCTGACAGGACGTCCCAACATCTGACCCATAAGTGAGTGGGCAACCCTGTAAGATCATGCGTATCACTCACATCGGGCACTGAAAATGTTCCTGAATCAAATTAAGAAAGCTGGCAGCCAAGGAGGTTGATACAGGTGGTCCTGGATCCGCTGCGGGGGCTGGTGGTGTCTGTACCTCTTGTGAATCCAGAAATGCTGGCTGAGAGTCCAGGCGTGGCAACTGGAACACTCGTACAACACGGGCTCCTGCAATCTAACAGCGTTAATCTGTATTTGAACAACTTGACCAAACTTACCATGATATAGTACAGGTGTTGAAAGCATGGGTGACGGTTAGAAGTTAAGGTGGAAAACAGCACATTCGACCAACCTCACGTGATGTGAGGATAAGTCAAGGCTTCCGAATGGCACAAACTCATGATAACTTATACAACTGGACTCGTAGTAATTAGGCTTGTAATACAATAACCATAACTCAATGTGATTAATATTCTAACTCCTGCATTATAAACTCGAAAATAATGCGATGTCACTCATTTGTCACAATTATCACGTGAGGTTGGTCGAAATGTGCTGTTTTCTAGTACCTTAAAAAGTTGATCTGTCAAATACTATACAATTATTCTCTACATATTACTGCTTCACTACAATATTACTATGGCAGATTTGATGGGAGACTGGTCGGTTGCACCAGGCACCAATCCTGGAGACGGTATGGACATCGACTTAGCAGCACACATCAGGGGACAAGCTGACAACGTGGATGCCGATGCCGATGCAATTGCCACCAATGCAACTGCCAGCAATACAACTTCCCGCAATACCCGCAATACAACTGCCCGCAATACAACTTCCCGCAATACCCGCAATACAACTGCCCGCAATACAACTTCCCGCAATACAACTGCCCGCAATATGACTTCCCGCAATACAACTTCCCGCAATGCCAATCGTCGTGACGTCCATGAAGAAGAAGAGGAATCCAGCGAAGAAGAAGAAGAAGAAGAAGAAGAAGAAGAAGATGATGATGATAATGATGATGATCCTGCTCCAGGCACAGGTTCAACCTCTGCCGGTACCCGAGGCGGTAGAGGAGGGCCTCGGGGACGGGGATCTCGGGGACGAGTGTCTACCAGACTAGGAGGAACTAACACACGAACGTCTAGTGGGCGAGTACAACCCATAGAGTCCCAGAGCCGGGCAATGAAAGGGGTGTCGTGGGGTCAGTCATGTTCATGAATCGTTGGGATTTTCCTGACCCCTTCTTACACAGGTCTAGGTGATCCAATGGGTAGGCCACGTTGACTGAGCTTTCTGAGGTGCATATGTAGCTAATCCCAACTGTTTAGACATGGATGTGACAGATGTGGGTGGACGTGTTGTCCGTGGTCATAGCCAGGCCATAGATACTGGAGGTAAGCGACTCAGATTCATCCCATTTTTTCTTGGAGAAGACCTGACCGCTTGTAGATGAATCATCTGGTGGGTCTTGGGGGCCTAATTTGATTCTGCTTCCTTCCCTTTGACCACAATTACTTACCAGCTGACCCTGAGTCTATCGCTTTGGCTTTGGAGGCTGAAGCCCTGGTGACAGAGAATGGGATGATCAGAGTATGCAGCAGTTGCTCTGATTTTGGGGATCTGAAGAAATGTGTTCGGCCTGGATGTCCTCATGCTCTTTGCTTCTCCAAGACTAACTTGTATCCCTGCATCAGAGAGGTGGGCGATGGTGAATTTTGGTGTCCCCCGTGTTGGAGCCAAAAGCGCCAATCTCCACTCCCGGTGAGCCATCCCTGCCGGGCTTTGAGACAACTTCAAGGCACTCATTTGACACAATTAGTATAAGGTGGTTGCACAAGGCGCATACCTCACAAGCCAATCCCGCATCCGTAGACCACTCCTGTTTCACACCATTGCCCTGAATCTCCAGGATTATCCGGAGACCTTGTTACGCTGCCAGCTGGATGGGGAATACCAGTCGTGCCGAGATCTGGTGAGTACAGAGTTGGCGATACTTCGGTTAAGACCTGACAAGGATCCCACAGTTGCATCACACAAAGATCAGGCTGGAGAATGCTGGTGCCTTAGTTCCTAACGTCCGCCGCGCTGTCAAGACTGGCCTTGTCTTTTTGAAGAATCACCCACTGGCCAATCTTCTAGTCTTGGTAGACTCACACAGCGATCATGATTGCGGAGAGTTGGTACATGGCACCCGTGATGATGGAGAGGCCGTCACTCGGGATGCGGAAAAGGTCGGTGATTACCGTCTACATCTGTCCCACATTTTGACGACTGTTCTCAGGTTTTGAGACACTACATTGGTCCAGAATTGTGGAAGATGTCTGAGAAGATGTCAGGAACCAAAGGAATGATTCTCCTGGCCTGCGGTCCAACTTTCACTGTACGCTCACATTTTGAGATAATCAAGAATCTGGTCTCAAGGTGAGATCACCGGGTTTGGTGAATATTGCATTTGTGACTTGGACTGTTATATTCAGCAAACGTTTGCACTTTATCATCGGGTTCACAGCTTATTCGGTTCAACCCACTATAGTCATGCCCTTCATGCTGAGGATCGCTGTAGAAATTTACATTTACAAAAAGCCTGTGGAACTAGCTGTTGAACAAGTGATCTCTAGCTGGACTCTTCTGTGCCATACTCCTGTAGTGTTGGTGTGTTGGACCAAACATGGCGAGTTGGTCAGCCGGAGATACTTGGCATCCACCCCATCTGGCTCAGTGTGGGGCCTAACCCCCAGGTGTGGTGACCGGACCTGTCAAGCTGGCCCTGGAGATATCAAAATCACCCGAGGTCGTCAGAAGGACAAGTACTTGAAGTTCCACTGCAACCGATGTGGGTGTAACTCCCCCGGCTATGTAAGCAGACCAGAGTGGCTCGTACCATTCTCTAATCTGCCTAATTTACTTCAACATCATTTCCCCCTTTCCTTGGAAGAGGAAGATTATATTCGTTTGCAATGCGTCCAGCGATCCTGAGTCCCATATTCTGTACACGGCCAATTGACGTGTAACTATACGTACACAATGCTGATACTGTAATTTTTGTCGTATACGCATGCTATATATTTTCTCAGCATACGAGCTATATCTGAAAATGCGGCGCAGACCCCGGCAAAAGATATATTCGTGAAAAGCGTAAAAATAACAGGAGTCAAAGTGTGTTGATTATCCTTGCTTATGATCCGTCAGCTAACCTTTATTTCTGGCCAGCTTTTGTGTGCACTCATAATTTGTTCCATATTCAAAATTAGCATTCGCTCTCTGTCACGTGTGATATATAGCATAACGTCCCAGGATTTCGCCACTTTACACACCTATGTTGTAAACTTACTCATAAGCAATGCATCGTAAATTTACTCGCGATGTTCATCCACCGTATTGTCCTCGTAGTCTCCATTTTATATCACCTTTAGAGGGGTCGAAGTCGTCAGAGTCCCACAAGTCACTAGTGTCGAAGTATTCAGAGTCCCACAAGTCACTAGTCTTTACAGTCGTCGAAGTCGTCAGAGTCCCACAAGTCACTAGTCTTTACAGTCGTCGAAGTCGTCAGAGTCCCCTAAGTCACCGGGGTGTTTGAAGTCGCAGAAGTCATCAAAGTCGTCAAAGTCTTCAAAGTCGTCAAAGTCTTCAAAGTCGTCAAAGTCGTCAAAGTCGTCAAAGTCTTCAAAGTCTTCAAAGTCGTCAAAGTCTTCAAAGTCGTCAAAGTCGTCAAAGTCTTCAAAGTCGTCAAAGTCGTCAAAGTCTTCAAAGTCGTCAAAGTCGTCAAAGTCGTCAAAGTCGTCAAAGTCGTCAAAGTCTTCAAAGTCGTCAAAGTCTTCAAAGTCGTCAAAGTCGTCAAAGTCGTCAAAGTCGTCAAAGTCGTCAAAGTCGTCAAAGTCGTCAAAGTCGTCAAAGTCGTCAAAGTCGTCAAAGTCGTCAAAGTCGTTAGAATCTCCAAATTCGTAGAATCTCCAAATTCGTAGAAGTCGTCAAAGTCGCATGTGTCCCACAAGTCATCATAGTCGCACAAGTAGTCAAATTTCTCGGCAAGTGCTCAAGACTTCTTGCTGTAGTAAGTCGCTCGCAAGTATCAGTAAGTAGCCCGGCGTGTTGTTTCGTCCGCACCTAACTTCAAATTTACTATGGGTGAATCAAAAAAAATGAACTATTATGATATGGCGTTACAAAGGTGCGATTTCAAGGCGCTGCCTGCAATATGAAGGGAGTGTCCGAACTATAGATATTGTACAGTTCCGTGATTTCTATCAGTACAGCATGTAAAATTCAAGGCGGTGCCTGCGCTATGAAGAGAGTATCCAAACTATAAATATCCTACAGTTCCGCAATTTCTATCAGTACAGCATGTAAAATGTAACAAAATGATGTAATACTAGTGTGTAATAACAACACTACAGGGTGGTGAAGCGTTCTAGACAATTCAACAGTTCTTCTCTACTGACGAGTTCGCCCGGATGCATCTGGCTACTACTTCCATCCGTCTGCTTCTTGCGATACACAGATGTCGCGTTCTTTAAATCCTTCCAAAAATGTTTAACGATTGCATTTGCAATCTCATTCGCTCGTTTCGTCGTGCTCGTCTTGAGCTTTGGCCTTTCGGTGCCAGCGGCCACATATTTGTTGGTATCTAAGACCATAATACAAAGAGCCATTAAAGGCCTGCTGTACAGCTCTAAAGGTCGATGTTACACGTGTTCAATGTAGTGAAAACGGAAATGAACTCACTAACGCGACGCGAGATGCGCGGTAAGTTGACAACCATACGTTGGAAGGTTTCCAGAGAGTGTTCATGGACCTGGTTTGTCAAGGTCCTTCCTTGCTTATGGTCGACGTAACGGGAAAGTTCCGTTAGATGCATGGTTTCGTAATTATAAAAGTGCCCTCCTGTGGCGAAGGAGGCTACCGGTGTATACACCGCGTGAAACTGTCCCGGTGGTTGTATTCTGCAATTGTAAGCATGGATAGATACATAAGGACCAAATACTCACAGCATATCACCGGGCAAGAGAGTGACGATCTCTCCGTGCCAACTTTCTTCGATATTTTTGCGGCTTCGATAGAGATCCGTCAACTCTGGTGCTATCTCAGAGAGTTTAGTACGAGAAATTTCATCTTCGTTACGGTGTCTCCATAAGCCCCATTTTTTTTCGCCCGTTTCGACTTGCACAAAAGTAAGACTTCCGTCAGAGTCATGGTGCGGATGTGTCCAGTACGCAGGGCCATGGATCAATGCCCACGAATGGACGGTAAAATTGTCCGGATGGACTTTTTCACCAATGGGGCAGTCAACAGTGGTTTGATTCCATCCGTTGATAATGCCGCTATCGAGAGTGCTAAGCATAGACGGTTTAGTGGTATGTTAATGTAAATATATGTGGTACTAACCTTAGTTCTAACGGGAGACCTCCCTGTCCAAATGCAACGTCAAGAATGCATTGAATCTTGTTTGGGTCGTGTATGTTGTTCACGAACTCTTCGAGAGTCGCGTGCTGATGCGGATATGTAAAATCTTTGGTGCGTTGTTCAGCGTCTATTGTAACTACATTAGATAGTGTAATGCAGATGCGAATTAAAAACAGACTCACCATGTACGACTACACGCATCAAGTCTGACATGCCACGATCTTCTAGGTAATCTAGATCGAGAGTTGCAGGCTCGGGTCTACTTATATTTCGAATAACAACAGCCTTGTTTACCCGAATCGCCGCAGAGATTTCGTCGCACAGTTGCCGGCTTTTGGTGCGCCAGTCGCTGTACTTTAAGTGTACGACGTTTTTTGACGTCTCAGGAAGCGATTCCGGAAGGGTTGCAAAGTAAGACACCGTCGTAGCATCTTCCTGGCACACGTTTACGCCATCCCTGACTATGCACGGTAGCACGGTAATAGATCCATCAGACCATGTGATGGTTTCTGATTTCTCGTGCACCTGCGAGCCTATAATCGGAGTTGCGAGGTCACGAGAGTCGAGGTTTGTGGGAACGGATGGGTTGGGTGAGGAAGGTTGTTGTGAACTTTCGGGGGATGACGACGTAGGATTAATGTGTTCGGGGATGACGGTCATAACCTCTACATCGCGCATGAGGGGAGGTGGTTTTAGACTTTTGCGGGATGACGATGTAGGGTTAATGGGTTCGGGCACGACCGTCATCACCTCCGCATCGAGCATGATACGGGGAGTCGGCCTAGTCGCGACGTTTTCCTCATTAAGGAGGACGGGGTCGATTGGAATATCGACAGGCGCTGAATCTGAGCGCTCCGCCACAGGATTTGTCTCATGTGACGAGACACGCTGCCTCTTTCGAGGACCTTGGTCTTGAACTTCCGCGTCACCGGTCTGCTCGGCCTTCTCCTTCTCCTCCTTCTTCCGTTTACGCCATGCACGCTTGTTAGCTGTGTTCTTCTCCCTTATTTCTTGCGCCCTGATAGGATCGCGCTTCTCGTTCGCCAACCATCTTCTTTGGCGTTCGCGCTGCTTCTCCTCTACAGTCATCTCGGCGTCGGCAAGATCTTCGTGATGAAGCCTCCGCTTCTTGTCTCCCTGGTCGTGCTGTGGCATTATATTAACAAGGAATTTCCTCAGTTAAGATAATAACAAGCGTGTAATCTAAGATGTACGAGTATGATACTTGCAACGCGAGCAAGTAAAGGTAAGAGGAAAGAAGTGCGTGTAGAGTGGCAAACGAACGTCTTTAGAATCGGCCACACATTATGTAAGATTCCACACCAAATTCCTGTCATTGTACTACAGCTCTGAGTCGTAGTGGACTTTTTGTCGACATGCACGGTATTTTATATAGGAGTTTGATCCCATAAGGTAAGCGTAAACGAGGTAGCTGAAGCGATGAAGGCTTTTCCTGTCCTCAAAGTCTCCAAAGTGTCCTCAAAGTCATCACATGCTCAGAGTACCTTAAATTTGTAACAGTCTTTAAATTCGCAAAGTCCGGATATGTGATAAATTCTACAGTCATGGAAGTGATAACTGTCCTCATAGTCTTATATGTCCTTGAAATCCTTGAAGTGGCGAGACTGCCCTCGGAGTATTATATCTAATTCCAGTAGCGGAAGTTGCGAGACTGTACAGTACATAATTCATAAACACACTGCAACTTGTAATCTATTTAAGTCACGCAAGTCGTGAAACTGTCCGCAGAGTCTTAAATGTCCGTTCGTGGAAGTCATAATTGTCCTCAGAGTCTTGGACGACCTTGGAAGTCGTGAGATTGTCCTTAGTCATAGTCTTAGATGTCCTTGAAGTCACGGAAGTCGTGAAACTGTCCTCAGAGTCTTAGTTGTCCTTTTAAGTCGTGTCAGTCACATATCCTTAGACGTCGTTGAAGTAATAGAAGTTGTGAGATTGTCCATTGTCTATATCGACTATTCGGTTGTGTTAGTATTACAGTTGTTATAAAGATTAACATTGTCGTGCCCGAATGTGATGCAAGCCGCATCCCTCCAGCAGCATAATGCCTTGCTTCTTTCATCTGGACGGTTCCATTCCGACCACAGTCAATCGCCAGTTCAATGCCATCCTATCGTCTTATTCAAACACACGCACCAAATCAGTCACCGAAGATTTAGATCCACCTGTGTGCGTTCACCCAGTGCACTACATACATGCGAATGTATTCTACTTCAATATAGTCTTCACGACCCCCCCTGCAAATCTTTTAGTACTACAAGTAGATCGTCCATCCTCTCTTCCAAAAACGCAATCTTCTCTGATGCGATGGACGCTGCATCTCGCATTGCCAACAGTTCTTCTTCTTTCTCCTCTAGCAGCGCTTGCGTGTCCGCTAAAATATGTGTCTCCATTTTCCCTAGACATCACTTGCAACTAGCGAATATAAGATATTCACGACACGTACTAGCCTCTCGTTTTGCCGCAGCAGCAGCCCTCCTCTTTGCTATCTTCTTTCTCTGAATTTCCTTTTTGATATCGGAACGAGTTAGGTCTTTAGATCCAACAAATTAGCAGCTGACGGAGTGAGATTCAATTGTGTGACGCACCAGTTTCCTCTTGCTGTACGATGAAAAGTGCATCTTGCTCTGCTCTCCGCTTGTTACGTTTCATCGTGCCTTTCTGGTACCTAGCAAATACTATCGAGAATGTTATATAGAATAATTCATGCTCGTGGGACGTACAGATATCCTTTTGTTCCGCCACACGCAACGCACAACGTTTCTCCCACTTATCCAGCCCTTTCATCGTACGAATTCCGGACTCGAAAAGCCTGCGAACAAGTTCTTCGGAGGTGATTTTCCTGCCAAATTTCTTTGAAATTTGGATAGCTGCATTGCATGTATCTAAAAAGAATTAGTTGTTCCGATGATCAAAAGGACGTGTGGTACTACCTTTTTGTTCCATGGTATTATCTCTAAAACCTCGACAGACTGGAGCTGTAAGGAAGTCGCGGTTAGACAATGGGATAATATAAAGAGTCAGGTGTTGGTATCCAACAAATTTTGTAGAGGTGTCTAGTCTGAGTTACAAACTAGAGATCTGAGTTGGATAGGCCATCAGCGTTTGACTTACACCTGCAAAACTGTTCAAATGTCACAACACGTAACATTACCTGATTAGGAATTGTGAAAACGCTCGAGTATTATGACTCATGTATGCATGTGTCATACAAACATTACACATTATACTGTATAGGTATTTTGTAAGTAGGTTCGCTTCGGCTACCCCTCGACATCTCATTTTCAAAATCTATGTACCTGTACCCACATATATGATATAATGTTGGTGCGAAATATAACGAAAAATAAGATATGATAACAGTAGATATATATAAATCACAGCCCAAGTAGATACAAACTACAAACATAGGTGCGCATCCAGGTGCAGGTCTAGATGGGCACATAAAAACCATCATGTCCTAAATATTTATAAGGGTATTTTGTAAGTAGGTTTGCCTTAGGTACCGCTCAGGTACTCATGTTTCAAAGGATGGTGCGCATCCAGACCCAGGTCTAGATGTGGAAATAGTTGCATAAACAATAGCAAAAAATCAACCAAAATTTATATAGGTATTTCCAGACTCCTACCCACAGGCGCTACAGCCTATATAACCCCCCTGCCATTCTCAGGAAACAGAATTCCCATTATTGCCTGTAAAGCAATGTAATAACACGATTTGTGGTCGGTCTTGCTGACTAAGTCAGACAACTACTCCTCTTGCCTCGCCAGCAATGGGAAAATGGACTCGCGCAGACTCAGCAAGGAATGCCAATCTTGCAAAGGCACTCGTCAAGAAGAAGAAAATCAATAACGAGAACAAAGAGAATGTAAGTACTCACATTAATTACAGCCGAAATTAAATTTCTGATGCGATGTTTCGCAGATTAATATTCCAGTGTGAATTTTGACGCCTGATGCGTCCGACGCGTCAAACACGCTGTTTCACGCGTTGAACATGTCAGACATGCCGGCCACATCCATTGGGGCTTTTTGTGATGTGCGGGAAGTGTTGGCCAACCAATCTGAGCAGCAGTCTCTCTCCTTAGACATGCTAGTGGTTGAGCAATATTTCCTGTCGGCTGAAGAAGAGGTGATGTCTGATTTGGAGCTACTACACACGGAGACTGAAAACTCAGAGGATGAGGGTTTCGATGCCTCGGATGATGTGGGAGAAGAGATACAAGGCTCCGTGCAAGATAATGAGCTGCGAGAAGGCCATAGACGTGTTTCACCCACCATTCCTGCATGTCAATCAGCCCTCTTAGATCTCATCGAAATCTTGAATCCCCTCCGCAAAAATGGAACTGGCCACTTAGCATTTTCTGGGGACAATATCCTTCGAAAGCGTCTCGAAATGATGTGAATGTTCCTATGGATGTATGTTGATCAACGGAACCCTCGAACATGGACCGAAGCCTCTCGTGACACAGCACAGGCTCACCAAAAAGCTGCCCATACAGCCCGACTCCTTTGTAAATGGGCACATTCATTATAGAGGATATTTGTAAATGGGTTAGGTACAATATGTGGTTTTGTTACCCCCAAGGGCCCCAAAACATATTAATGACTTGTGATCATGCGGGATTTCCGTTATCTATGTCTAAAAAACCATATATATATAAGGTATTTTAGACCCTTGGACTCACTCACAAGCATATATTTACCTCTATGTATATCTCTATAATATAACTTATCTTGTATATTACTATTCATTCGACAGATCACTTAGGCCGCCGATAGTACCGTCTGAACGGCGTCGTATACAATGGATTACATATAAAACACATACAAATATACAAATACAAATATATTTGTAGTCAATATGGCCGCCGTTGGAATGGTCTGGACGGGGGGACGAATTGTTGTAGTTGAAAATATTTCATACGAGTTATGCAGGCATGTTATTTAATTGTACTACGGTAGGTATATATATAAATTCACTATGTATACTAAGATATATACTAAGATTAAAATGATAAATACAGACAGAGAGATAATAATCATCACGTGATCGAATCACATGACCATCGCTGAAACTCAAAGTACTAAGAAAATGAGGCATAAGTAAGAACATGAGGCGACGGCGTAGCGTGCATGGGGCAAAGGGTCCAGGGTTATTAGAAAAGGAGCCGGATAGCGATAAAATCAATTGTTAGACACTTACCATCACATCGATTAAAGATCAGGACTGAAAATACATATCGACATGCCCCCCAAAGCGTCGCGCAAAGGGAAAGGAAAGAAATCTGAAGCAGCAAATGTAAGTGTACAATGGGTATACCTAGAATTAACAACACAAACTGATGATCAATGGGTGTAACAGGAAGGAGGAGGATCAAGCTTTCACCTTGACACCAGACCGGTGGAGGTGGTCACTCCCAAGCACGATGCTGGGAAGGAAATCGAACGTCTGGACACCGAGGTGATAAAGAGCAAGGTCGGTGTCGCATGGATCAATATGTTGGCGATGGGCGAGCGTCTAAAGTTCGGGGTCTACAATGACCGGCCTGAAAACGACGCTGAAACGCACAAGTTAATACTATCGTTCAAGCGCCATGGGATCGTGTCCATGAGAGAAATGAACGCTATTCCACTCATCATTGAGATCGACCACGTCAAAAATGCGGAAACACTTCCCTTTGATTTTAGCAGCCCACAGAATGTACCAGAGTTGGAGCTCGTCGACATGAACCCTATCATAGTGTCCTCGGGACAGCATCGACTTGCAGCACTTCGACAATACCATCGAACATTAACAGATGAGTACAGGACACTCGAGAAGAAACACGTCAAGATCAAAGAGTTGAAGAACCTGAGCGAGGAGCACATACGCACCTTCAATGAGATGCGGGAGGAGATGGGCACGATAAAAGGAATTATGGACGGTATGGGTGGATGGGGGGTCGTAATCTACGACAAAGGTGCGTTGATTGACGCGCTGGATACCGTCTGAACGGCGTGCGTATCGTGCTATGATCGATGGTGTTCCACACAAGTGTGGTATTCAATGCTTGTAATTATAATACCTCAAAACGTCCGCCGTACAGACCGTCTGGATGGCGGACGATCTGGTATTCTGGACTGGTTAGCACGCGGATAGAGCCGTCTGAACGACGTCGTGTTTGGGGGGTCTGTGATACTTATACACCCTCCATTACAGAATCTTTGTTGCAAGGAGGAGACGAGTTAGCGAATCATCTTAGTCGAAACAATCCGTTTCACGACTACAAAGAAACAGAAGAAGAGGTACTCATTACCGTGTTGAAGAAGCTGAAAGGAGTATTCGACTCGACTCCTGCAAACACACGGCATGAACGTGCTACCACGACATTAGTGGAGATCCGAGGCATGCAAGACAAAAATACGCGGCTACTAAGAGTCCTGCACCACGAAAAACTGTGCATGTTACTGGCGTCACGTTTACTATACCTCGGTACCCACTTTCGTCGTCGTCCCGAATTTTCCGTGACGTGGCTGGCGAAAGGACTGGATGTTTGCATGGGCGTAAGTTTTTTGATCATATGCGAGGTCGACTCACATTATGTTATGTCAGATATATTTGATGTGGATAGAGCAACGTACGATCACGTTGAGAATGCTCGGGTCTCGCTCGGCGTTTCCAAGCTATAAACAAGTGTCTGCCTTGATTGATAAGGCAGACGACGGCAACACAGACGCCCAGGCAGAGATCGCCAAGCTGCGTAAGATCATGGAGGAGTCAGACTACGGGGATGACGATAGCGAACTTACCTTGTGGGCTGAAGTCCTCGACAGTGTCGACAAACACGCTCTCGACGCATTCGACACAATTAGGGACAGCATCGGTCAGATGACCCCCACCTACGTCATGCGTTTGAGTTCGTATCGCCAGGGAATCATCAATTCTATGCGAAATAAGTGGTCCATTAACGCAAACAAAGATTACAGCCAGAACGAGAACGAAATCCTACAACACCTCGACCGAGTCGTTGCTCGTGTTGCTCTCTTCCTGACGCCAAAGGAAGGCGAAACACACGCTCCTGAACCTCTCCTAGGAGGGTTTATGATGGACTACGCTTGGTCCACATTTAACAAACTTAAGCTAGGGTTGGCTGAGGTGAGCAGGGTTAGTTATGGGGCCTCCTAGGATTGCTAGGATTGACTTTTCACCACTATATACACCCTTCATTATTCAAAATGTGGCCTTCCATTCCAGGACTCCCGCTGTGTAGGGGTGTCTCAACCATGATTTGGTTGACCTGCTCACATCATGAATGTGGCCTTCCAGGACTCCCGCTGTGTAGGGGTGTCTCAACCATGATTTGGTTGACCATCTCACATCATGAATGTGGCCTTCCAGGACTCCCACTGTGTAGGGGTGTCTCAACCATGATTTGGTTGCACATCTTCAATCATGAATGTGGCCTTCCAGGACTCCCACTGTGTAGTGGTGTCTCAACCATGATTTGGTTGACCGTCTCCCATCATGAATGTGGCCTTCCAGGACTCCCGCTGTGTAGGAATGTCTCAAACAGGGTTTCGTTGCACATCTTCGATCATGAATGTGGCCTTCCAGGGACTCCCGCTGTGTAGGGGTGTCTCAAACGTTGTTCAGTTGACCATCTTCGATCATGAATGTGGCCTTCCAGGACTCCCGCTGTGTAGTGGTGTCTCAACCATGATTTGGTTGACCGTCTCACATCATGAATGTGGCCTTCCAGGACTCCCGCTTTGTGGGGGTGTCTCAACCATGATTTGGTTGACCTGCTCACATCATGAATGTGGCCTTCCAGGACTCCCACTTTGTGGGGGTGTCTCAACCATGATTTGATTGACCGTCTCACATCATGAATGTGGCCTTCCAGGACTCCCGCTGTGTAGTGGTGTCTCAACCATGATTTGGTTGACCATCTCACATCATGAATGTGGCCTTCCAGGACTCCCACTGTGTAGGGGTGTCTCAAACATTGTTCAGTTGACTGTCTCCCATCATGAATGTGGCCTTCCAGGACTCCCGCTGTGTAGGTGTGTCTTAAACAGGATTTCGTTGCACATCTTCTATCATGAATGTGGCCTTCCAGGACTCCCGCTGTGTAGGGGTGTCTTAAACTGGGGTTGGTTGCACATCTTCTATCATCAAATGTGGCCTTCCAGGACTCCCGCTGTGTAGGAGTGTCTTAAACAGGGTTTCGTTGCACATCGTCTATCATGAATGTGGCCTTCCAGGACTCCCGCTGTGTAGGGATGTCTCAAACATTGTTCAGTTGACCATCTTCGATCATGAATGTGGCCTTCCAGGACTCCCACTGTGTAGGGGTGTCTCAACCATGATTTGGTTGACCATCTCACATCATGAATGTGGCCTTCCAGGACTCCCACTGTGTAGGGGTGTCTCAACCATGATTTGGTTGCACATCTTCAATCATGAATGTGGCCTTCCAGGACTCCCGCTGTGTAGGGGTGTCTCAACCATGATTTGGTTGACCGTCTCCCATCATGAATGTGGCCTTCCAGGACTTCCGCTGTGTAGGTGTGTCTTAAACAGGATTTCGTTGCACATCTTCTATCATGAATGTGGCCTTCCAGGACTCCCGCTGTGTAGGGGTGTCTTAAACTGGGGTTGGTTGCACATCTTCTATCATCAAATGTGGCCTTCCAGGACTCCCGCTGTGTAGGAGTGTCTTAAACAGGGTTTCGTTGCACATCTTCTATCATGAATGTGGCCTTCCAGGACTCCCGCTGTGTAGGGGTGTCTTAAACATTGTTCAGTTGTTCATCTCCTATCATGAATGTGGCCTTCTAGGACTCCCGCTGTGTGAGGGTCTACCATTCAT